CACCTCCGGCCTGCTCTGACAATAGTGACTTGTATATGGATCTAGTATATTTATCTATGATAGACACAACTTATGTATAGAACCTGTTTTGCGTAATAAAGTCTTCCCCGAAGTACTCATTATATAAGCAACTATTCTCCATAAACTACGAGGATGTTTTGCTGAGACCAATCGTTGTACTTCTCGGTCTCCACTAGTCGAATTAATAGATGTAATCCCCACGCCAATTCGAAATAAGTTTGGGTAAGCGAAAACTCACAGTTTTGAAGTATGAAATCTGAACTAAGTACTGCCATACGTTTCCCGTCAAAAGCCACAGCGTGGATCGCTCTGTTGACAGGTGAGGAAATCCCACACATGGGTGGTGGAACAGGGCATTGGTCAAACTCTGTCAGTCGCAATTCTTCTAAAGCAGGAATTGATTAAAATTCAAGTTTGAGGAAAATTCAATAGAATGTGAATACTTTTGGAAAATTTGTCACGAAGGAAGTAGTATGAATGCTTACCAGTAGCAATGACCAAAGCAGTAGAATTAACAACAATTGGACTGAGATCAAATGTCAGTCGACAGTAGGTGCCATCTTCAAAAAGAATGCATAGAAGTCGTGCCTGAGCGTAAAGGAATTAAATAGTCAAATTCTACCAAAATCATCACACTTCGGATAAGGTACCTTTTCAATATCCCAATGGACACGTGTCACTTTCTGTTCGAAACGCGTTGACCATTGACGTTTCCAGTCGTAGTTGGATACTGTCCATATTTCGACTAAAATCCGAGATTTATAACACACAAGAAGTGAAAGCTTGGGAAAGTGAACAATTTACATAAATGAGATGAACGATCTTACCTTCATCAAAATCTTCACCTCGGAAGTGAAGAAATAAACAGGAAGATTCCACATCCCATTGCATATCAATGACTCGTCTTTCGCTAGCTGCACCTTGCAGTACCATTTCATGACGCTTTTCGCCATTTCTCTCGTAAAATACCATTATTCTCCCTTTCTCTAAACTCAGCACTTGAGATAACACCTCGAAAAAATTTAGCTCAGATGAATGAG